TTTGCCCTTCTTGACTAACTAGAACTTTTGAACAGTTGATTTTATACTTAGCCAATCATTTTAGTGGTTATCTCTTCTTCATATATCGTAAGGTGTATGAAAGGTCGTTGCTCATTGTTGTTTCGACTTCATACAGAAGTTTTTCTAAGTGCATGGGTTTCTCACTACGCGTAAAAAACAAAAAGAGACTTTCTTAAAAGTTTTTTGTTGTTATTTATGGGCCATATTTTTTGATTGTTTTCTAATTTTTTTCTTACAGGTTTTTAATGAACAGACGTTTGCTATTGTCCAGGGACGCATTCAGGCTTTAATTCTGGAAAAAGAAAACGAATGGGCTGAAAGTAACAAAAAGGTTTTATTATGGCATTTCTCGGAAGTTTGGGGCTGTTGTTCATTTACATTACAGCCGTTGGGATATTATAATTTTTTGTATTTTTTAATCCTAAAGGCCGTTTAGAGACTTGAAGAGATTGATTTGTGGGAACATAAAGCTACAGAGCGCGGGTTGATTATCTATGAGTATGACCGAGTAATGAGGATTTTGATAGAAGCATTGAAGTCCCCTGCGCAGAGAGGAAGTTGGTTGTTTTTTCTTTCTCTTTTAGCTTCTTTTAGTATGCTAGGCTTTTAGTGCTTCTTCCGCTTTTGAATAGCTAGTTTTTCCTTTCTCGAATTGACCGATTTTTCACAATTCTTAGGCCAGGCGCGTGTGGGAAAGGCTTTGATAGGGGGACCGGGGCCAGAAAGGATTGTTTCGCCTGAAGAACTGTCTTTGATTCAGAAAGAAAGAGACCAATTGGCTGAGGATGTTATTTCTTGGGAGACAAGCTATGACGAATTGTATAAGCGTTATGAAAAGCTTCGTCAGGCAAGCTTGGAGATCAAAAAGGTGTGGCTTGTATCTGACTTCTAAATTAAATTGCTTGGTCAAGTTTTACGCGATATTGTTTCTAATTTTAATTTTTTAAGAACGATGATGACATGAAGCAGGCCTATAAGGAGTTAGAAAATCGTAACGAATTGCTGGAACAGAATTTCCACGCACTACGTATGCAGGCTGAAAACGAGTTAAATCGGTGGGTCTGTTTTGTTATTCCGTTTGTATCCACTGGAAGATTTGTGGAAATGTGAAAGTAATCAAGTAGGAAGATGTTTTAGAGCCAACATGGAAATGGATCGTTTAGAAAAGGTGAGGGAGAATGACACTCTAGGGCTGAGGTTAAAGGTGAAGCATCTCGAAGCAAAGAACAGCGCGCTAGCTGCAAGTTTGGAAGCAAAAGTTTGTTTTTTAAAACTCTTGAGCAAGTAAACCAGAGTGTAATAATCTTCTCTTTTTTGGGACGGTGAAGGTTAACATTTAGATAAGAGTTGATATAGTGTTTTACTGCGTTTAGATGAAAGAAATTGCTGATATGGAAGCTCTCTTTGAGGATGTGGTTCGTAAGGCAGATGGCAGTATATCCCAAGAATCTTAGTATAATAGTTTTTCCAGTCACTTTAAAGTAATGAAATTGTAGCTAATTGATCCATAATTTACTTGATTAATAATTATAATACAAGTTCCTTAATTGATTTGTGTTTTGGAAACTCAAGATAATTTTTAAAGAGTTTCATTTTTGTGCAGCTTTTGTACTTTTTACTAGAACTGCATAATATTCTACATTTTTAGTTTTGTCATAATTTTATGTGGTTTACGGGTCCTACATTTTTAATTAATCATTAACTTTGATTATACCGTTTATGGTGTTCTTGACATCTAATTTACTCTAGCTTTTTTTTTGTACAATATAAGTTCAAGTTTGTTACGGGTAAATTTTTGCTGATTTACTTAATTAGCAGCAGTCTGCGAAGGTTTTATAAAAAGTATAATATTTCGAAAATCTGTTTATAGTAGTGGCGTATATGATGAGAGTTATTTTTATATCTTATGTAAAGTGGAAGTATGATTTAAAAAACCCGGTCAAGGTTTTGTGTTAAGGCTGCTTGGCGATTCAGTATAAATGGAGTTGCTTCACTTGTGTTGTAAAGTAGGGATTTGATTTTGAGGTTGTGATATTACTTTTTTTGTGCTCAATACCAGTTTACTATGTTGGTGTCGCGCCAGGTGGGCGGATGTGTTTTTTTATTTGCTGTGATATTTTAAGGCATGAAATAAATACTTTGCTTATTCTTATTCTCTCTCCGTAATGATGTACTGTGAGCGAAATATGGCTAATGGGCTGATTGTAGACTGCGTGTACAAAATGGTATATTGGTATTCTCGAGCTTTTAACAGTATTTTGGCGGAGGTTGATTTTGAGGAAATTCAAGCGTAAGTTTCCGGGGTAGGGTTCGTTTCGAACAGCTTTGTTGTCTTTTGTAGGGCGGCGTGCTGTTTTCCCGCCAGGGGTCGGGTTGTACTGGTGGCTCTTGCTAGGAAACTTCGTGGTGTGGGACATTGTGCTTCGAATATTGGTCTTGGTACTTGCCGTTTGCTAGGTGATTTTACGACGTATGTTAGTTTTGCTGCTGGCTTTGGAATTGTCGTTGCATGGCTTTTGTTTTGTTTTTAGTGCAAAAGATGGCTGATTTTTTAGAACTGGGGAAGGGCAAGTGCTTCTGAGTGTCCGACATAAAGATGCTTAACAAAATGATTTAATGCTTTTAGCAGCTGTCTCGTGGCTTTTTACAAAATTTTTTCTTGTTTATCGTACATTTCTTTAAGAATATACTGAATGAGGTAACTTGTTGCACGTGGACTCCAAATTTTCGTGGTTTTACACAAACTGGCAGAAGCTTTTTTAGATACTGTAGAAATTGAGATTTAAGTGGAGAGACTGTAACCGAGTAAACTTGAAATGCTCAGTGGTAGCGCAGAAACTCGTAGAAGTTAAGCAATTTTGAATCGTCAGAAGAAGTGAAGTGATTGTCGTTGGTAACAGTAGGATGAGTCATTGGTTATAAAGTTGAAAGATATGATCATTAGAAAGGGGAAGATTTTGAGGTTTTTACCTCAACAGTGACGCACTTAAAGAACTGAATAAACTGGTTAACTACGTACCAGACATATAATTCTTCCAATGAATTGTGGCTGTTAGAAAGATGAAACAATGAGTTTATTTTTTTGGTCATAACGGTTATAGTGCAGGTGTTGGGAGATTAACACGCCAGTTGTTAGCAAACAATGCGGTAAGATGGTAAAACGCATATTATTCGGAATATTTGAAGTTTTGTTGGTCACTTTTCTGGTGATTGACCGCTGCAGAATTATTGGACGGACTGTTCCAAGCAAATTTTTAATTACTGCAAACTTTAACTAGTTAAGGTTTCAATGAGTAGCTGCATTATGATGACGCTTGAAATTTATGTAGTTGTTGTATATATGAATGCTGAAGCAGTTCTGGTTTGTCCATTGAAGGTGTCTTGCTGGAAATTGATAAAATAATTTATTTTATTCACATTTATGGTGCCCTGAAATCACTTTGTTCTTGTTATCGCTGCTGCAGCTTTTGAAACTGGGTTTTGAGAGGAAATTAGGGTAAAGTCATAGAAATCGAGGTAGAGTTATAAAACTTTTTAAGGGTCTTTAACACTTAAATGCTGATTGATGTCTCAAACTTATTTCAACATTAGCTGTTTATACCTCTTCTGCCTTTCATTCCTTTTTCGTATGCCAACTGTATTTGATACCTTTTTTTTCTTTTTAATGATACTTTGATAATTATATCGAAATCGCTCGTCAATTAATTACATATATTACGAGTAAATAATTTTAACTCATTTTCAGACGGTACAGAGTACCGTCTTCTGCAGTTGTTGTTGTTGCCAGTTTGGAAAAGTTGTTGGACAACGACATATCTTGACAATTGAGCAAAATATTCGATTATAATATTATATTTTGACTTTTGATGCTCTTAAGCCAGTTGTATAGTATTTGCGGGTTACTTAGTTTCTTATTTGTCCTATGGCGCAGATGACTGAACCATTAATGGAAAGTGGTTCTGCTTTGAAAAAAAAAGATGTTCTGGTGTAATAGTTGATGAATCTTTGTTGTATGGACGATTACTTCGTCTTTCTTTGAATCAATAAAATAACTCATCGAAGTGAACTTATAAAAGGTGATTTTGCTGTTGCTGCTGGTAACAGAAATGCTGGTGCTACCTATACAGAAAAGCTGATGCTGTTGACTCTTTTATGAAAAGAATACTTTTTTGCAGCTGGTGGAAAAATTAAAATAACATGTAATTGCAGACACTGTTTTTTTCAATTTGTGCTTGATGCGGTTTAGGTTATAGCAAAATATTATATATACATGTTGTTCAGTTGCACGTCAGTTCTGGTGCTAAAAATTTTTCTCCTTATTTCACTTCAGAACAAAGATTTCTTTTCCTTCTTCTTCTTCTTTTTCTTCTTCGTCTTCTCCTTCCGCTTACTTCCAAGTGCTAATGTTGTGTTACTGAGGTAGAAGAGGTTAGCACGTGCTGTTTTTTGTTGTACGTTTAATAAGAAAGCTTAAGAAAATAGCGGCCTGAGTGGTGAGATGATGGAAAATGCTTCAACAAAATATTTGGTCAGCTGTACAACATTAAAGTAAGTGTTAATCTGTCAAAAAATCAGAATAAAATCTTTTTCAATGACGGTACCAATGATAAGTGGAATAATGATAATAATGATAATGATTTATTGACCTATCAGTTCCCCAAAAATTTCTTAGTTATAAAGGATTCAATTTTGAATTGGGATGACCGTCTGCTAGCAAAGATGAAGTGATAACTGAGTGCTGAAAATTACATTAATCTTTTATTTGTTTAGATTTTGCATTATACAAATGTTTTGAAAATGCTCAAGAATGAGTAATAGAATATATATATATAT